ATATTTAAATTATAAAACTCTCTCTCTCTCTCTCTCTCTCTCTCTCTCTTTGTGCGCGCGTGTGTGTAAGGGTGTGAGGCTGAGTGTGTGTGTGTGGGTGGAGGGGTCATAAATTTTTATCAATTGATTTTTTGTCATTTGTACATATTTTTACAATATGCCTCGGAGTCCGAAGTTTTAGCAAAGACAATAATGTCCTCAGCAACATGGCATGACCAAATAACTGTTGACCGGTTAATTTCACCGATTCGGCAATATTTTACCAGCCACAGGGTGACCTCAGGAAAAAAAAGAATATCTAGGAAAAAAAGTCTTCTGTCATTCCCTAGCAGTGTTTGTCGTAAAAGTATTATTTTAAACTTATGAGACATACTCCGATATTAACCACGAAATATATATACGATGACCTTGTCAGCAAAAACTATTTATCATTGAATCAAATGAATACTGCCTTTCTTCATTTCAATTATTAGGCCAATTATTTACATACTGCATGATTTGAAAACAGATTTTCCGTTATTTCCCGATCATGACAAGGAGCACACGGCGGGTATGAAAGGTCGACAAGGGATGCTCATTCCTCCATACATGAAGCACCTGATCCACCTCTGATGTTTTTGAGATCTGTGTTTGCTCCGCTCCTGTTTTATATTGTTTTATAGAACTTTTGAGATTGTATACTGTTTGTTATTTCCATGGTTAAATTCAAACCTAACGTAAAGACTTTCAAAAAGTGGGGGGTTTTTTGTTCCTGTTTTTTATTTTTTCAGGTACTTAAATACTAATATGGGAGGAGGACACTAATGATATTTAAATGATGTAATAATAGAAATTTTGTGTATACCGGGTATGTTACGTGTTTAGTAAGCTTACTTAATTAGTTTTTAGCTCACCTGAGCCGAAGGCTCAAGTGAGCTTTTCTGATCAAAATTTGTCCGTCGTCTGTCGTCGTTGGCGTCGTCGATGTCGTAAACTTTTCACATTTTCATTTTCTTCTCAAGAACCACTGGGCCAATTTCAACCAAACTTGCTACAAAGTATCCTTGGGTAAAGGGGATTCAAGTTTGTTCAAATGAAGGGCCACACCCTCTTCCAAGGGAAGATAATTAGGAAATAGTGAAAAATTAAGGTCACTTTTAAAAAATCTTCTTCTCAAGAACCACTGGGCTAAGAAAGATGAAACACATGTTGAAGCATCCTCAGGTAGTGTAGATTCTAGTTTGTACAAATCATGACCCCCGGGGGTAGGGTGGGGCCACATTGGCCGATCAAAGTTTGACATAGGAATATATAGGAAAAATCTTTAAAAATCTTTTTCTCAAGACCACTGGGCCAGGAAAGATGAAACTCATGTGGAATCATCCACTGGTAGTGTAGATTCAAGTTTGTTCAAATCATGACCCCCGGGGGGAGGGTGGGGCCAAAATGGCCGATCAAAGTTTTACATAGGAATGTATAGGAAAAATCTTCTCAAGAACCATTGAGACAGGAAAGATGAAACTCCTGTGGAATCATCCCCAGGTAGTGTAGATTCAAGTTTTTCTAATCATGACCCCCAGGGGTAGGGTGGGGCCACAATGGCCAACCCAAGTTTTACATAGGAGTATACAGGAAAAATCTTTAAAAATCTTTTTCTCAAGACCACTGGGCCAGGAAAGATGAAACTCATGTGGAATCATCCACTGGTAGTGTAGATTCAAGTTTGTTCAAATCATGACCCCCGGGGGGAGGGTGGGGCCAAAATGGCCGATCAAAGTTTTACATAGGAATATATAGGAAAAATCTTCTCAAGAACCATTGAGACAGGAAAGATGAAACTCCTGTGGAATCATCCCCAGGTAGTGTAGATTCAAGTTTGTTCAAGTCATGACCCCCGGGGGTAGGGTGGGGCCACAATGGCCGATCAAAGTTTTACATAGGAATATATAGGAAAAATCTTTAAAAATCTTCTTCTCAAGAACAACTGGACTAGGAAAGATAAGACTCATGTGGAAGCATCCTCAGGTAGTGCAGATTCAAGTTTTTCTAATCATGACCCCCAGGGGTAGGGTGGGGCCACAATGGCCAACCCAAGTTTTACATAGGAGTATATAGGAAAAATCTTTAAAAATCTTTTTCTCAAGACCACTGGGCCAGGAAAGATGAAACTCATGTGGAATCATCCTCAGGTAGTGTAGATTCAAGTTTGTTCAAATCATGACCCCCGGGGGGAGGGTGGGGCCAAAATGGCCGATCAAAGTTTTACATAGGAATATATAGGAAAAATGTTCTCAAGAACCATTGAGACAGGAAAGATGAAACTCCTGTGGAATCATCCCCGGGTAGTGTAGATTCAAGTTTGTTCAAGTCATGACCCCCGAGGAAGGGTGGGGCCAAATGGCCGATAAAAGTTTTACATAGGAATATATAGGGAAACCTTTTAAAATCTTCTTTTCAAGTACTTCAAAGCCACGTTTAGTGATATTTATAGGGAATCATCCTCGGGTAGTGTAGATTCTAGTTTGTTCAAATCATGACCCCAGGGGGGAGTGTGGGGCCACAATGGCCAATCAAAGTTTTACATAGGAATATATAGGAAAAATCTTCTCAAGAACCATTGAGACAGGAAAGATGAAACTCCTGTGGAATCATCCCCAGGTAGTGTAGATTCAAGTTTGTTCAAATCATGACCCCCGGGGGGAGGGTGGGGCCAAAATGGCCGATCAAAGTTTTACATAGGAATATATAGGAAAAATCTTCTCAAGAACCATTGAGACAGGAAAGATGAAACTCCTGTGGAATCATCCCCAGGTAGTGTAGATTCAAGTTTGTTCAAGTCATGACCCCCGAGGTAGGGTGGGGCCAAATGGCCGATAAAAGTTTTACATAGGAATATATAGGGAAACCTTTTAAAATCTTCTTTTCAAGTACTTCAAAGCCACGTTTAGTGATATTTATAGGAAATCATCCTCGGGTAGTGTAGATTCTAGTTTGTTCAAATCATGACCCCAGGGGGGAGGGTGGGGCCACAATGGCCAATCAAAGATTTACATAGGAATATATAGGAAAAATCTTCTCAAGAACCATTGAGACAGGAAAGATGAAACTCCTGTGGAATCATCCCCAGGTAGTGTAGATTCAAGTTTGTTCAAATCATGACCCATGTTTGATCTGATTCATGTTTGATCTGATATGTGCTTTTTCCTAGCCAATTGCTCAGGTGAGCGATGTGGCCCCTGGGCCTCTTGTTTATATATTTTTCTCGCGTATTTGATTTGTTCTCTGGTGTTAAATGTCTATAAAAGGTTTATAAAGTCCTACAAATATACAGTACCTCTGCAGTAAAATCAATTTCAAATTGCAAGACATTCACAAAGTTATTATGCAGTTAACAATACTTCTACGATACTATCATCTATAATTAAAAGTTTAAATTCAAACCTTTTCTGCATAGCTTCCGTATAGAATATTACAAATAAATGATTACATTATGTAAAATCCTATACAGGCCAATTGAAAAGTCAAAAGTTTTCGGTTCTGTTGAGACAGCTATGCCTTGTTTGAATAACGGAATTGAATTAGTCATTTATAGTTTATTAAAACATCTGAAATTGAAGAAAACATAAAACAAAGCAATATGACGACAGTATTAACGAGTACTTGGAACTACCGTATCTAATGGTAACAAAACATAGAACAATAACTACAATATTCTATAATATGAAATCAATACACATTTGTATTGAAGGATATTAATCGAAATTCAGAAAAAAAGACTGACTATTTCAACTCTGTAAACACAAAATAATCCTAAAATATGTTCATACAGACAAGCTTTAAGGTAATGGAGGGAAGTAACAGACTTTATAATAATCCCTGTTCATTCATGCTAATATTTTGTAGAATTTTTTGAGACAATAGAAAAGGCAGGGAGTAAAATTGCTTGAAAGAGAAGGATATTGTATAAGGTTATAAAAGGCGTGGACAAAGATGTTAAATTTAGAAGTGTATTATGTGGATACAGTCAAGGGCACAGAATGTAAATCTGAATAAATAGCACTACAGTATTGTTCTTTGCTGAAAACACATTTTACATTTCAAGATATGAAAATAACACGCTATTGAACAAAACAAAATATTATTTACATATGGCTATAAAGGTAAAATACTATTCTATAACATTTCACATTCTAAGATTCGATTTCTTGATTATCTAATATTATGAAAATTAGACAAAAACAATGCAAAACAATTGTTTAAATGGGATCACATTCTAATCATTTGAATCCAAAAGCGATAATCAAACAGTATTTACTAATATCAGAGATTGTTTTCGTTTCTTAGATATCAGCCTTCTGTCAATGGAAAATAAACAATAAGATTCCTATATAAGCAAAGAAGAAAAAAGATAGAAAAGACGGGGATTTTAGGGAACCTCGTATATAAGATATACACTGTTCATTTAATCATACATAAATAATCATCGTGTCAACAGTTTTCTCCTTGTCTAAAATATTTTCATTGTAATTTTTTCGGCCCGTCTTGAAAAAAAATCTACGAGTGAAAACAAGATTTCAGTCACCTATTTTCTAATCAAATTGTACTTTCCATGAAAATGTTCTAATTAAAAAAAATATCCACAAGAATAGATATAATTTTTAGGGTGTTTGTACTACTGATTATTGTTATTATGTATATTGTAAAATTATGTAAGAGCAAATGTTTATTTGTTGGCCGACATGAGTGTCAAAGAGGTGCACAAGTTTATGATACACATGTGCAAGAACCTAAATGTCTATTAGTTTCAAATAAGCTAATGATCGACGTTAATTTGTTCTCTTTATTGACCGGCTTTTACAGAGCACGTAAATTTAAGGGCCGTGCTTGATAATTTTAAACATCTTTCACGATCAATAAAACTAATAGATGTATTTTATTTAAGTTTCTGTATGCAAAAAGTTGTGTCATTTCGCATCAGTAAGAAGAAGAGGAAAATACTGATTTGTGTGTGACATATTGCGGTATCAATATACCAGGAAATATTCTGACTATATATAAGAGATTTATTCCAATTGTCCTGAACAGTACTTGAATAAAACTTGATTCTTTTAGCGGAAATACAATGAAGCTACCCAGTGTAGGACAATTTATATACGTCTTCCTTTTTCGGTATACGAATCCAGAAGTCATCACAACTCATTTTTCTTACCGAGGATCCACTCCAGAAACAGCCCAAGCATGTGTTATAAAAAATTTTACTTTGCCCGGTGGATCGGGACATTTATGTGCCCCCTATTGTCACAATGATTTTCTTTGTAACGCATATGACATTTGTTTTCTCGAGGGGCAACATGTGTGTCGGCTCCGCTATGAAAAAATGGCATGGTTTCCTTATTCTACTCCAGGTTGTGCCTATTTTGAACTGGTTCAGGTAAGTGTCTTAATTAAGTTCATCCTAATCACTAAATGTATTTAATCACAATTATGTTTTGTTATATAATACTTGTGTTAAGACTTTATATGGCGTAAAGCATATAATATTATCTATCAACTATTTTACATCTAAACATTTGTAATTTAAGAAAATGTATTACTTTTACAACATAAACAAATGGAATTAAATATGCAGTGTTGCAACCGCTATTTAAATACCGACCACTATTGAAAGAATTATTTCAAATGTGGTTGAGTGCATTTCAATACCAAACATGGGTTGCAACCAATACTGAAATAATGTTCACTTTTAAAATAGTAATTAAAAGCAGATTTTAATAGTAATTAAAACAGATTTCAAAAGTGATTCTGAGTTTTAGGACTTCATATATTAAGAAGTTGTGATGTTTGTGAGATCAATATGAGACCCTGGAATACTGCTAACAAATACCACTAAGTGATATAAAAATATTTTGTATATCTTAATTAGAAATAGTAGTAAAAAGTCTGTACTATGTCGTGTCCAGAGTTAAATGTCGTATTGTTAAGCAATATTTTCGGTAAGGGGCATATTGAATTTTTTTTACTTTTAATTGTCTCCATAAAAATAGACTTTTAGGTTCTGAAAGCTGTAATTTTCTGAAACCTAATACTTTAAGGAATTGAACAAAATGTACTGGGTCATTTGTCAATTTTCTTATTTCTGCGTCACAGTGTCTCTTTAATAGATAAGTTATTTTTGATAAGTCTTGCAATGTGGTTAAGATATAGGGTTAATTATCAACAAATATCAAAATAATAATCAAAATCAATTTTGAAATCTATATTTCAATGAATATTGAAACTATATGTCAATCAGTATTGAAAACTATTATTTCAATCACTGTTGAAAACTATATTTCAATCACTATTGAAAACTATATTTCAAACACTATATTTATTTCTATAATGAACATTATTTCAATTGTGGTTGCAACCTATGTTTGGTTTTGAAATGCAGTCAACCACTTTTGAAATAAGTATTTCAATATTGGTCATATTTCAATAGTGGTTGCAACAATGCAGTGGTGTAAGAGAAGTTGTAGATAAGAGATGGGTACCCCAAGGCGTGACGGACGGACGTACAGATAGACGTACAGACAGCTAGACGGAAGCATGGACGGCCGACTCCATCACTATTTACTAGTGTTGGCTAATCAGATGTATTTAGTACTAGTACTTGCTTAATCTTCCGATCGAGTACCCGGTTACTCGGATTTGCATTTTTTGTTATTATTAAGGACATATGATACAAACAAATTTTTTCTTTGAAAAGGATTTGATATCATGTCACAAGTTTAGAAAAGTGGATGGTTCGTAGAAATTTTTCTCCTGAGAACTGGAATATGAAAAAGACTTGGAAAATATTAGTAATATTTCAATGAAAAAAACAAATATAGACAAATCACATTCAGTAAAGGTTTACAGGTGAAAACAAATTTCAGAATATGTTAACATGGTGCTAAAAGTGTAATATAAACATAAGAAAAATATACCAAGCCAGGTGAACTTTATTAGGGAAAGCAAAATGGTAAAAATCAGCCTATGTGATATTGCTAATTTTTTGTCATTTTGATCTTCCTCTTAAAATTCACCAGGCTTGGTATATTTTTTCTAAAGTTTATATTACACTTTTAGCGCCAAGATAACATATTCTGAAATTTGTTTTCACCTGTAAACCTTTACTGAAGGTGATTTGTCTATATTTGTTTTTTTATTGAAGTATTACTATAATTTTCGAAGTCTATTTCACTTTCCAGTTCTTTGGAGAAAAAATTCTAAGAACCATCCACTTTTCTAAACTTGTGACATGATATTGAATCTTTTTCAAAGAGAAAATTTGTTTGTACATGTATTATCTGTCTTTTATCTCATCCTTTTACATATTGATAGAAATAGATAATAATTGTTACATATATGAACTTTATTTACAAAAACAAACCCCAAAACAAATCATCTTCGATGAATTTTTATTTTAAATGTCACTTGAAACGGGGAATTTGTTTTTGTTTAAGTAAATAATTTTATCGACACCTGAAAAAGATATTTTTGCGATTGAGGTGAATTAACATAACCTGTAACACTTTGCAATTTTTGTTATTTTTGTTGAGTTTCATGCAAGTCACTGGTTAACGAATTATTCTTCAATTTCGGTGATTTAACATAACGGGATATGTGTAGTCCCACCCGTATATATTCAACAACTCTGATTCACATAAAATGGAATTTGACAGATATCGAATCAGCCGTTCTTTAACAATATTTCCACTCTTTAGATGTTTGCGGCAGCATCTTGTTAAAGTATGTTCCTCTGACTAGCACTGGTCTAAATGAGGTGATAATAACTCAGGTCTTCAAAATATGTACCCCCTGGCAATTAAAGCCACCAATTAAACTAATCAAAACATATCGATCCTATTTGTGAGCCACTAGAGCAAGCCTAACGGTTGTTAAATTAGGGAAATGTGTCAATATATATTTACAAATAACATAAAGATTATTGTATACGTAATTACTATGAAAATGTATTTTTCCGAGCAACCAAATAGCAGTTTTACTAACCGATACTCGCATATTTCGACGGTTTACAGACTAGTTGTCGGCGGGGACATATGTAATTAAAAATAAATTCGTAAAAAAGACAGTTTTTAACATTTTAAATCAAACTTGAACCTTGAATCAAAATTTAAAAGCAAGTATAAATAATCTCTATTATGAATGTATTGATGAAAAATGTCAGCTCTAAAACATTTTTTTTATTTCTCTTGTATTAGGAACTCGCCTGCCCTGGGGGATTCTTTTTACGTTCTAAAGGAGTCTGCAAAAACAGTAAGTAAACATTGAAAGAACAATAACCATAAATTGTGATTGGGACTCAATATATAACTCGACATACATGTACATGTATTCAATTAATATGCATTTGCTTCAAAGGGAGATATAAAGTAGAATTCTCTAATTCTAATAAATTTTTGTCAAGACGTGTCGTTTTACTAACCACAGTTCCCCCTTTTCCGTTAAAATCATTTTCATATGCATATAGGTCACATTATGGATGTTAAGTTGTATTTGATAAACAGATTCAAAGGGTGCAGGAATAGGGGCAATGGGCGCCGAAGATTTCAACATCCGCACGAAACTGTACATAACAAAATCATTCATTCAATATCAAGAAATATTTCTTTAAACTGACAAAATTAATAAGTACGAATAAAGGTAAGAGAATTCAGAAAATTGCTAAAAATATTTTTCCCTTCATTTCTATATAATTTTGTATGGTTATTTTCCTCAGTCAATGAATATCTCAATTTTCTTCCAGATAACCTGGCCTTATATAGCCCTGTTATGATGAGCTCTGTTTTTCCCTATGGCAGCCATGGTAACGGTAGCCTCGCAGTGAATGGAGAAGTGAGACCTGACGACAATGAGTGCACTCATACTAACAGTGAATCTCAGCCTTGGCTGACAGTAGATCTCCTCGACATGTTTTATGTCCGACGGGTCGTATTTGTAAACAGACAAAGTTCGGGTATTTTGTTTTTGTTATACATGTATCCCCTCCCTCAAAATTGTTACAATTAACGTAAGATCCAACCAACTGCCGATAGATGGCTAATAATGTAACCAAAAGTTAGATAATACGTGCATAAGTCTTTCAATCGACAAAGTTCTAATAATCATATTGATTTTCAAACTCACAATTTTGTAGTTTAAATAAAAGCTGCTTCTAGCTCATGACGGACAAAAAATTTCATTTGAACAAGGAGAAAAATCTTTTGAATAAAATTTCTGCTGAAGTGATAAATGTTCAAAAAGTTGAAGTTACTTAATTTAGATTAGCACCACGTTCCATTTGTACGACGGCGTATTCGTGCCATTTTAACAATGTAGAATTTTTTTTATTAAATCGTTTGTACGATTTACTAAATCGTTTGTACGATTTACTAAATCGTTTGTACGATTTACTAAATCGTTTGTACGATTTACTAAATCGTTTGTACGATTTAACAATTCGTTTGTACAATTTAGTAAATCGTTTGTACGATTTAATAAATCGTTTGTACGATTTAATAAATCGTTTGTACGATTTAATAAATCGTTTGTACGATTTACTAAATTAAATCGTACAAACGATTTATTAAATTGTACAAACGATTTATTAAATCGTACAAACGATTTATTAAATTGTACAAACGATTTATTAAATCGTACAAACGATTTACTAAATCGTACAAACGATTTATTAAATCGTACAAACGATTTACTAAATCGTACAAACGATTTACTAAATCGTACAAACGATTAAGTAAATCGTACAAACGATTTACTAAATCGTACAAACGATTTATTAAATCGTACAAACGATTTAAAAACAATATTTCTACATTGTTTAAATGGCACGAATACGCCGTCGTACATTTGGGCTTTGCTTTTTCTTTTTTTTTTTTTTTTTTTGTTTTTTTTTTTTTTTTTGTTTTTTTTTTGTTTTTTTTGTTTTGTTTTTTTTTTTTGGTTACTTTATGAAGCCAGAAAAATTGATATTTATGCCATATGTACGTATTTAACTAAAAATTCTTGTAATGTGAAATGATTTTTGAGGAAATAGAAAATTTTTTAGTTATGATAATAAATTAAATAATTATGCTTTTCATGTTCTTTGAATATTAGAATCTAAGCCAGTCAAATACGACATTATTAACAGATAACATTTAAATAAAAAAAAAATTGCAAACGTCAATGATAGTTTTTTCGGTCTGTTTAGAGTGGCGTTTGCACGATTTGAATGTGACCGTGGGAACAACTAACATGACCTTCCCCTGTTTCTGTGGATTTTTTTACGGTCCAGGAACGTCCCACCAGAGAGTGGAGTTGACTTGTGAAGAAAATTGTACAGGGCGCTTCGTACGTCTACAAATTACCTCCTCTGATCCAGAGATTTTACAGCTTTGTGAAGTTGAAATCTACAGTGATTGTGATATCTAATCTCTTGTTACTCATCTACAGGGAAATAATACCTATGTACATTTATACATCTGTTTAATAAACCAAAAATATCAACGTCTGTTTAAAGCTTATAATAAATCAAATTGTTCATGTATTATGAGTGTTATGTTTTCACTTGATTATAATAAAGTTGATTATCGTATATATATTCTATATTTTATTATTCGCCACAACGGTATCCGATCTGTTTGTGGATGTCTTAAAATGTTCTTATGGGGATAAGTGTTGTTTATTTTTTTAAAATATTCTTTAATTGTTGACATTCAATGATATTCATTCATTTTTCTTCAATATTTCATAAAATGTCAACTTTATAATAAGGTTTCCATAAACATACAGTAAGGTTAGAGACAAAAAAAAAATAAATCCTATGTTTTTAATTTTATTATCCAATATCAAAGAACTTGAGGCATATATGAATCGATTGTCTACTTGGCATTTTTTTTTTTACAAATCCTATCCAACCCAGACATGATTAGTGCCTTCTATTTTTTGTTACCCTGGTACAAAGTTAATACTATTTTTCAGGACTATTGTATGCTAAACAGGTTTGTCAGGCTGAGGAAATGAAAACGTGCATTTTGATAAAATTTGTCGCAAGAAAGACCACAAAATATATTTGAGTATGCATTCAGCGAAACGTAGATATATGTGTCTTTATTATGATCAACAGTAAGTTCGCGGAATGTCACTTTTATTTTCACAAAAACTTTTTCTTGTATTTTTTAAAACCATTATTTGCTCTTAAATACTGAAACTGATGAAGAATTCGGTTTATGTGAACCTGAAGCACATTTGCAGCTCATGTTAAATAATAAAGAGGGAGTGTGTGTGAATAGAGCATTTATTACAAATGCCAAATGAGATTACAGATTTTACAATTTCAGAATGCAGCAGAAAATGGGGCCCAAAAATATCCCACACCTTATACAAAAGAAAACAAGTACATATATTTTTTACAACAATAACAATAGGCACCTTATACAAAAGAAACTATTACATATATTTTCTTCAATAACAATAGTAATGAAGGATTGGAGGGGTAGGGGTTCGGTAAAATTTGTAAAACACATTTTCGGACCCCCAAGTAATTTTGATAAGGATAAGGCTACTAGAGAACACCAAACACGTAACGTAAGAATATCTGTTTAACGAACGGTAAACTTGTTTACTTAATTTGTGATTACCTGTGTAACTGACGAATTGTACGGACGAATTACACCTATAGAAAAATTAAAATTATTTGTCAATTTGATAAACTTGTATAATCGCTTTGGTGTTCCATGTACCAATATGATATAAATATATGAATATGTTCAAGTGTGTTTTTATTGATTTCTTCTAGTTTACATATAATAAATAAAAATTAATCCACATTATATTAAAGCATTGGCAGACCAGAGGGGGGTTCCGGGGGTTTGAACCCCCACTTATTTTTGTACAGAGACAGAGAGAGAAGCTTTTCTGTGATAGATATTTATATGTCTAATTATTTGAAAAATAAAAATAAATCGCTGTCCTTTCTGCTCGCTAGATCTGTAGATTTTTGCGTATTTACTTTCCTCCGTGTACCTTCACAATCCCGTCTAAGGGCTCCGAACATCCACAAGTAACATGCAAGGAAAATTCCAGCAAACTCTGGCTATACCATTTCTGGACCATCTTCAGAAGTAACTAACTTTTAGAAGTATGCATATTGAATATTTTTAATCAATACAGAAAATGTTAAAACGTTCCTGTAGTATGCAGAAGGAGGGGGCTCAATTTTTCTGAGAATAATCTTTTGCTGCAGTTTTAAATAATATTTTGTTTTGGAAGCTCCCTCCACATCTTTTGTTGCTGGTAAATACGCAGATTCAATATTGAAAGTAATGTACCGAACAGAACAGTGACACGAAGCCCCCCTCTAACCCCTTCCAATTTCAAAAAGTGGTGTATAGGTTTTTTGTTTATGTTTGTCTGTTTTTTGCTTGTCAAATGTTTTTGGACCCCCCCCCCCTCTTATAAATGAAGCTACAGACATGAAGTGGCCATGGTGTGATTCTATGCATGAGTGCTGGGTACACCGACCTGGACCACCCCCCCCCTTTCAAAAATTGCTGGATCCGCCCATGTTAAAGGATGACCTTTGTTAATTACGATAATGTCTTATATATTGTCAACAAAATTCACAAAAATGAGCTAAACATAGTTCCACAGTCGATAAACTAGGTTTATCGGTTGTAAACAATAGTTTCAGAACCGTAAACTATACTTAACACTGAAAACAATTATTTGCAGTTGCAAAACATGGATTATCTGATATATACAGTTTCAAGATTTGTAAACTATGGTTTACAGTTCTTAACTATAGTTCAAGATTTGATTAATATAGTTTCACGATTTGCGAAACTATGATTAACAACTATTGACTATAGTACACGATTGTAAATTATAGTTTACAGACGTGAATCTGGGTTTATCAACAAAATCTATAGACCGGTATATTATTAATGTTTTCTTACAGACAGATAAACTAAGATTAGCATTCGTAAACTATAGTTAACAACTTTTAAATATAGTTTTACAGATGCAAACTATAGTTACCAAATTGTTAACTATAGTTTTACAGATGAAAACTATAGGTAAAGAGTTGTTAACTATTATAGTTTATGGTTTTTAAACTATAGTTTACAGTTGATAAATCTAGTATATCAAGTGAGAAACTATGTTTAGCTCGTTTTTGTGAATTTGGCGTGCCATACTTATAGGTTGTAACAATTATCAATCGACGCTTTGCAAGAGCTGAGAACAATTTAACAATAAATGCAAGTTCCCATCTAGGGTGCCCATAAAAGAAACCCGACATAAAAAATAATAACTCGATATTGGTCGTTTAAATCTAAATAGAAAGTGAAAAAATATGTTCCAGCAGTTTAACTATCTAAATATTCATTCAGCGGCGGATTCAGGAATTTCAAAACGTCAGTGGGGGCGCAGTAGAAGACTAGGAAGTCTGGGGCTGCATTAAAGCCCCCAGTGGGTCCAGGAAAAATCCCTGATGGGGATCCAAGGGCGCGATCAATGGGCGAAGCCCACCGGAAACTGAGGATCTCTATATAGAGGTGTTTTCCTGTTGATTTTAAGATAATACAAACAAAATTAGAAAATCAAATGGGGGAGGAGGAGCACGCCCGGCGCGCCGGTGCTGGATCCGCCTTTGAAATAATTACAAAATAAATATAAAGCGAGTGATGGTATTTATAAACTAATTGTCATCTCCCTCGGGAGATGACACATTAAGATTGTATGCCGGAAGTGAAGTCCTAATGTAAGCCTCCATTAATTTATCGGGAATCCTCGATGTTTTACAATATCTACACAAGGAGTTCCAAGTAGCCTGTAAACTGGTTTTCTATTAGAACTAGCGTAGAAGTGTGTGATCTACTTTCGGTTTAGGCCTATTTGAAAGCCAAGGAAACTTTAGAAAAGAAGTACGATGCTTATTGTCATCTCTCACGAGAGACGACACATTAAAGTTTGATTTCCTGATGTGAAGTCCCAGTGTAAGCAGCTATTTTTCAGTCTGCAATCCTCGGCTGACTCCACTACGCTACATTCAAAAAGTGCGAGGCCACCCGAAGATCACCGACTGCTCAGTTTGACGCGATGATGCGATTTTCTAAATCAGAAAACAAGCTGCAAAGAAATCATACAGAGACCAACACACACAATCGCCTGAATAATTGTGTTTTCCAAAATATACACTGTATGTTTTTTATATGTGACTTAGTCTTCTTGGCTATTAATTAAATGATGACCAGAACTCGATAGAATCTTCTAACTAGGTCGCGTGTGTAAAGATCCTCTGCAGCCGAGGCGTGGATCCAAGAATTCACAGAAAAACAACATCAAATAAAAACATTCACATAAGTAATCGCATTACTGACTAATAGGAATTGATGGTGAAAACTTCAATTTTTTGGTACATTAGTCATTCTATAACGCGGTGTCATTTTTTTTTTAAATAATACAAGTCTGAATATAAAATCAAATTCATTGAGAAATTAAAAGCACAAGTTAGAAGCGGATACATTAATGTCTATAAAAAAAAACTACAGACATTGAATGAAAGATCACAAAGAATGGTTATGAGTATTTTCTTGCATGTATTATCTATTCTTTTTAAGGATTTATCATGATTAAAGAACTTGCAATCATTTTCTTTATGCAGTTTTAATTGCATAAATGTCAAAAACATCTTTAATTCACCCCTCCTATATTATTGAAATGAAGACCAAATTATAATACATAATAGTTTACATATGTTTAGTTTGCAGATATAAAGTTTACTAAAACACAAAAAAATATACGCACTGCATGTGAATTTGGACGGCCACTAATGGCACAATACTGTATATTACGAAAACAGCCGTAAGTTCGGGGTTGGCAAATGAGAACTTTTCTCTGATAATTTGTAAATGCTTGATTTTAGCTGATAGCATTTAAATGTTATTACTTACTTATGCTTAAAAGCATGTGAACGTTGGGTAGGGGCCCAAAGCCACACAAAAAATGATTTAATTAAATATTATGTATATTTTGGACCAAAAAAAAAACTGTGAGTCTGGGCTCGGTACCCTCTAAATCCACCAGTGCTGTATAGTAATAGTAAACTTTTTGATGTAAGTTTAGTTCATCTCCCCCTTGTTGTGAGATGTGTTGGTCATTTTTTCTAGAACATTCTTGAACTTTGTTTATGTCTAGAACTTTCCAGGAATATCATGTATTTACAATTTCTAGAATATTCTAGATTTATAATACTGTATAAATATCCTGTCAATTCGATTCATAAACAATAAATTGTCGTATAAGTATCATTGAGGTGTTACTGGGATATAATTTCACTGGGACATTGTGTGCAGCAACGGACACTCTGATATATGTATTTTTAGATTTTTGCTCAGTTTGTACTTAATGATTTGTATATTACTGTAAATAAATTATTGTTAAGTTTAAACTGTGTGATTGATCTTTGCTGGCATTTAGGGTTATTCTGACCCATAACACCCTTTAAAACCAAAGGGGTTTGACGACCATATCACTTTAAG